GTTGGTTTTATGGCTTTTGGTAGGAAATCTGGTGCATATCAATGTCAGACACTGACTGTGACTGTCCTGGGCTACCTGTTAGAAACCGCAAAGCAATCCACCATTTGTAGCTGCTTTTGGTGGGCATTGGTGGATGTGAGAGAGGCCAAGCTCTGAACTGTGGCCAGCTGCCACCAGTACTGAATCTGGAGCAGGTCATAAAAGGCCCAAGATGCTCTGAGATCTACTGATGCCAGAACAGATCCTGTTCCTTCCTTAGGTTAAACCACAGCTGTTTTGGAAACATACCTACTGTCACCCATATACAGAAAGTTGTTCAGGTATTTCATTAGCAAAGATTTTGGGGCGGGGGGAGGGGTGAAGCATTTCAATCTGGTAATTGGACTTACAGCAGGCTACGTGAGAGTCCTGAGAGCAAAAAGAAGGAAATTCCTTTTAAGATGGGAAGAGGATGTGTATGACAGATGTTGTTATTACCATGGAGCTATGTTTTAAACAAGAGTTCTTCCTGTAGGGCTTTCTGATGACATCGGATATGAGGGCTCCTCCCATAAGCCCCCGTGATTCCTGTCTTCGTTAAAGTCTATTATAAATTTTGACACTACTAAATCTTTTTGCTTGATTTAAGATCCTGATTCCAAATACAAGTAATTATGTCATACTCTTTGACCTAGCTAATACTTACTCACTGTTTCTAAGACTTAAGAAATATTGTCTCATTAATCGTCACAACAGATCTATGAAGTTGATAAAATTATCATCTCTATTTTGCAGTGAAAAATACCTGAGACATGCAGAGGCTTAGCAACTCTGCAAAATCACACAGAAAGCGGTAGAGTGGAGTATTCCAGCCCATGTTGAGTCCACCAGAGACCTGACTCCAAACCAAACTCCTAACTAGCACCACCTAATTGTGCAGGTGGCTGTCAAAAACGTATATTAAATGAATGAGTTCTTCTAGAAAATTTCTGGAACTCCCACCACACTGCTACTGGACTGGTTCCATGCTAGGAACTGGCCTTGCCCTGGCACAGTCTGGACCTTCTGCATGTCAGGCGATCTCCAGGCTCTTCTCTTGTCCAGGAAATGTTTTAAGAATGAGCCAGGGTGAGAAAAAAAGCAAGTTTTATTTAGGTTCAGAAAAAGAAAGAGGCCAGGAGGTAAGTTCTGGGAAACAGGATCAGAAGTTTAGCCTGGGACTGGCTGGCACTGCCCATTGTCCTCTCGTTGCAAGTCTCACAGGGCGCAGATGTGAAAGAAGCCAAAGTACACATCCAAGTCGACTCGGTAGACCTTATGAATGAGCTGCACCCCAGTCAGTCAGTTCTTGGAATCTTAGTGTTTCTGGTTTTTGAAATTTGTGGGGCCAAATTCAGTCTCCACCTTTGGGTTTGGAGGGGCCTAATTATCTCTAATATGGTCCCTTACAGAAGTGTCATGTGTTCACCCCTCTCAGGTGCCCTTCTACTTATGGTGTCAGTTTTCACTACAATGATGGTATAAGGAGCTTTGAGGTCAGTTTCTGGTCATTTTTTCATCCATCTTGGAATGATCTGGCTTTAGCTAGTTCCTGTGGTTGTTGACTTCTGCAACGACTGCAGGGATTTCCTGCCATAAACTGTTTCTCTTCGATCATGCTTGGAGGTGTGGGCTCTGGTGAGAGGACCTAGCACCTTATCAGCCTATGATGCCTCTACTTCCTTATTCCACTTGTTGGGGTTTTTCCATAACTTTTTTCTATCCTGCCTCAACACTACAACTTGATTGATGCAGTTTCTCAAGTCCAATTAAGGGCAATAGGAATGGGGACTCCAAAACTTTGTAGTCACAGGCAGTTCTATTGCAGCACACAGTGGTAACTGTCCCTGTAGCTACTGGGTGCTCAGATGCACTAGCTCCCAAGATGCTGAGAGTAGAGCCAAAATTTCTTCCAGTAGCTCTCCTGATCTATTTTTGTGCCAGAGGGAGACCAACACAGTAAGACTGAATTTGGCACCACAAATTTCAAAAACCAGAAACACAAAGATTCCAAGAACTTACCAACTGGGGTGCAGCTCACTCACAAGTTCTATTGAGTCAACTTGGATGAGCACTTTGGCTTCTTTCACATCTGCGCCCTGTGAGACTTGCAACTAGGGGGCAATGGGCAGTGGCAGCCAGTCCCAGGCTAAACTTCTGATCCTGTCTCCAGGAACTTACCTCTAGCCTCTTTCTTTTTCTGAACCTAAATAAAACTTGCTTTTTTTCTCACTCTGGCTCATTCTTAAAACATTTCCTGGGCAAGTGAAGAGTCTGGAGGTAGCCTGACACACAAAAGGTCCAGGGCAAGACCAGCTCCTGGCAAGGAACTAGTTCAGTAGCAATATGGTGGGAGTTCCAGAAATTTTCTAGGAGAACTCATTCATTCAACATACATTTTTGACAACCACCTGCACCGAAGGCAGGCAGTGCTTCCACTCTCATAAGGCTTACATTGGTGGCAGAGGGGGGCAGAAAAATAAACATATTAACAAAGAGGTGAACAAGAGTCTTTCAAGTGATAAGAAAATGAATGCAGAATGTGAAACAGAATGATGCATTATGGGGAACTGATTTAGAGGAGTGTGGAAGAAGTCCTTACTGAGATGGTAATTGAACAGGGAAATGTTACTAGACAGGAAACCAGCCCAGAGCAGCTCTGCCTCAGGTGGGCTGGTGACATGTGAGTTCTTGACTTCCTGCAGGAAAGATTTCACAACATGAGTCCAGGTGATTTTGAGAGTATGTTTATTAAAGCTAGGGACAATAAAACAAAGAAGGGTTTAGGACAGAAGAAGCAACAGGAGAGAGCCGAGGTGGGGATGCTTTGTCTCTCTAGAAACATTATAGGAAAGAAATGAGCCGAGGCGGGCATGCTTTGGCTCACTGAGAAGTCAGAGAAAGGGAGGCCTTGGAAACAGGTTCAGGGGATTAGCCCAGGAAAAGCTGCTGCTGTCCATTGCTCCCCTGGTTGCAAAGCTCGTGGGGACCCTTAGAATTTAAGAGATGCAAACCTGACAGGGAAGAATGGTGTGAGCATGCTCCAGAGAGGGAGAGTGAGTGCTGGGACCTTCATTTTCTGAGGGTTTTTAAAGGCTGGGAGTTCTGGGGAGGTCTTAGAGAGGATCTCAATAGAATATCCATTATTTTTTTGATGATGTGACAAAATGAGATTTATTCCCTTTAACTTCATCTGTCCTTGGGTGTGGTTGGTACAAATGGCACTAATTGGATTTCTGCTATCTCCCTGAGTAGGGCGATTTAACATATTTATACTCTGGTTGGGGAAAAGTGTAAACCATTTACTCGGAAGTGTCCTTGGTTAAGGAAGATAGGATTTTGCCATTTACTAGATGGCTGTAAACTGCTTGGCTCTGTGTTGCAGCCTCTCTAGGCTGGACAGGTCCGCTCGGGGCTCAGGTAGATGGAAGATGCGTGGAGCCTTGGGGATGCTTGACATGCCTTTATTCGGGAGAGTCACACAGGCACAAGCCCGGGTTTGGGGAAATCACACAGGCCACAAAGCCTGTATCCACGCTGCATACAGGCCACCAGCCCGTATGGAGGGAGTCACACAGGATACAAAGCCCATGTCCAAGTCGCACCCTGACCCCCTACCCCATCCAAAGCTCCTATCTCTTTTATACTAGCCCCAAACAAAGCAGGCAGTCAGGCCAGAGGTGAAGTAACTATCATGAGCTGCGCGTGCAATCCCACTCAAGGCCACAGGGCAGTTTATTGCACCCAGGGCTCAAGGCCTCGAGACCCAGGCAAAAGCGTGTGGGAACACTGCTATATCAGACTCCTCCAAGGTTCTGAGGAGTTGCTCCCTCCGGTTACCCACACATCTAGGTGAGGGAGCCAGACTGCCTGGACGTACCCTACGGGCTGTTTAACTATCTGTCTCAGTTTCCCTATTCCACTTGTCCTGGCTTACTAGCCTGTCTCAACATGACTGACAAGAAGCGAGAGCCATGCAAGGGGCTAGGGCAGAGTGTTTCAAGACCAAAGGAGTTGAAGCACAGGGTTTGAGGAGAGGTGGCAAGAGAGAGGTCGGCCAGCAAACAAGGTGGATGGATGTCAACCACTCAGGCCCTGCATAGGTCATCACCTCTCTCTAAAGTAGGCTGGGAAGAGAGAATTTTAAGCAGGGGAAAGGGACATCTACTGCTGAAGGACACATGGCATTGCCTGTGGGTGGGGCAAGTACCTCCTAGGGACTGAGAGAAAACAGATTAGTAGCGTAAAATCAGTTAAGGGGCATTTTAAACACACTTTCTTCCACAATTCCAACTAAAAGAGCGGGAAGCCAGAGAGTCTAGGATTTGCTGACACCACATCCAAACCCCAGGACTGCCACAGTCCTGTGACTAGGGTGAGGTCCAGAACCTTCCCTCTTAGAGAAGACGGACTGTGAGAGTTTGTTTCACCACTGGACAAAGAGAGGAAAGACTGCAAGACAGGGGTAAAGATCAGGTTGTAAAACATGGGCGTGGGGTTTTCTGATTACCTCACCCCCTTTATCACCACACAATAAGCACTGAGTATTCACTTCAAATTCCTCTGCCCCTGGGGCGGGGGCAGTGGATGCTGGGTAGGTTTTAGGGTTTGTTTAGGTGAGCTCATCCCCTCATGAAGATACCCCCGCCCCCAGCATCTGCAATTTATCTCCTTACACCTGCCTAGGAGGGCAACTTGTGCCTGAAGTGGATCTCGGCCCTGCACTAACCTTACAGGCTGGGAACTGGCTGAGCTGGAGAAACTTCACCGCCTCTTCCTCCAGCTCCTCACAGGGGCTGAACGCCTGAGAGCCCCGCTGGCCCCGGGAGACTGGGGTATTTTAATCCGACGGTGCCTGGGACACAGCAACGGCTGCCAAGGGGATTGTACACGACCCGACCACATGCAGCGGCTGCAGGCAAAGCAGGAAGCGAAAGCAAGTTGGGCAGCCGTGCAACTTCTGTATGGTCAGTTTCCGGCCAGTGGTGGCAGGGACGCGCGGGAGCCTCTGGAAACCTTCCCAAGGATCCTGGGAACCCGAGTCCCGGTCTGCTTTGCAGGCTCGGTGATCTCAGAATGCAGCGCTGGGAGGGCAACTGGCCCACTGAGCCAGGCTCGGGACCCTAAGTTGTTGGAACCTCAGTTTTCTGCTTTTCCAATGGGGATGTTAATGAGTGCCAGGTTTAAGGCTATTTTATGTAAAGCCCCTTACTCATTGTAGGCGCTTCAGAAATGATAGGTAATTTTTTTAGGTAGTCCACTGAGAATATTTGCTTGCTAAGGTCCTGCTTACACCAGGAAGCAAATTTAGGCCACGTAGGGGCAGGGAGCCCTATTTTATGGAGCACCTGGCGAGTGCCACTTAGCCACAAATCATCCACTGGCCCTGATAAGCCGGGCGAGAATTGGGAGGTGTGGGGTCGTGGCCGGACAGGAGACTGGTATCCCAGAGACCCACAAAGGGTCTCATTAGCCCTCAGACCTGGACTCTTCCGCCGAGTAACGCTGCAGGTCACACTAGAATTGCGGCTGTTAGGAAGTCTGATTTCGGTTTCCTTTTCTTGAGCTTGCTGTTCCACACCCCCACTGCGGCCAGGAGATTTGCCCAGTGATCAGTGATGTAGAGAGGATCCTGAGGTTCCCATTGGCAGGCGGAGTTCAGCAGGGGCCAATCCGGGCGCTTCTCCGGCAGAACACTCGTTGAAAGGCTCTGACGAGTTTGGAGATTACTGGGAGTGGGGACCCGCTATCATCCGCTGTGCTCGCGGAGGATCGGACCCGGATCTGACCGCTGCGGGAGACTAGCAAAGAGCCTTCAGCTCACGGCCTGGAGCTCGGCACCGGTGAGTAGGGTTGTAAGATGAGAAATGCAGCAAAGCAGCCGTTACACACGCCCTGGTCTGGGAGGCTCGGGAGAGGGCAATGTCCGGGCGTCCTCCCAGCCTAACCGCCTGCGTGCTGTGGATCCTTTGCTCCTTCCCTGTGGGTCTTCCTTGTCTGTCCCATGCCTAACACAAGCTCAGTGTCGCCAGGGCGCCAGAAGAAAGCGGGTTCCGAAGGCATTGTGGTTGCTTGATGCGGAGCAGATCGCCAATCCCTCACCATGACCAAAGTCATGTTTTGTTTTGTTTTGTTTTTTCCATTTCCTCCCCCGCCCCGGCTTTTGGTCTGAACAAACTGGTTTAGTCACGTGTACTTGGAGCTGTGTATCGCCTCCCTCTTTCAGCCTATTAGTACATTAGTATTTTCTCTGCCGTTTTTCTTCTCAATGTTGGAGCATATGGGCGGCAAACACAAGTTCCTAGGACATTTCAGTTTTAACACCACGAAGATTTATGTTTCTTCAGACGATGGGAGGACAATCAGCTCATCATACACGCAACAAATATCAGTGTCAGGGACCCTGAGTGAGCCTCCTGTTTAACTATTAGCCAAAGTCATAATTCCTAGAATATTTTCCTGCAAGTTTAATCAGTTTTTTAAAAAATAGACTTTATTTTTAGAACAGTTGTAGATTTACAGAAAAATTGTGAGGTGACTACAGAGTCCCCATACATCTGAAACCTCCCTTTTATTAATATCTTACATTATAGTAGGGCACACTTATTACAATTAATGAACAAATATTGGTACATTATTATTGAACAAAGTCCATAATATTCAAATTTCCTTAGTTTTTACTAAGTACTAAAAGTGCTAAGTACTTTTTCTGTTCAAGAATCCCATCTAGGATACCACATCACATTTAGTTCCCACATCTCCTTATGCTCTGCTTGGCTGTGGCAGTGTCCCAGACTTTCCTTGCTTTTGATGACCTTGACAGTTTTGAGCAACACTGGTCATGTATATTGTAGGATGCTTCACTACTGGAATTTGTTTTTCTCCTAAGACCATGCTTATGGGTTACTGGCATCTCAGAGCTAATAGGTTTTTTGCCATTTTAAACACATTATATCAAGGTTACATGCTACCAGCATAATTTATGTCTTGATGTTGATTTCGACCACTTGGCTGAGACACTGATTGTCAAGTTTCTCTGTAAAGTTACTCCATTCTCCCCAACCCCATATTGTACTCTTTGGAAAATAGTCCACCTATGTGCAGCCCACACCTAAGGCGTGGGGAGTATGTTTCTCCTATTTAAGGGCAAGTATGATCATATATTATTTGAAATTCATTTGCATTGGAAATTTGTATCTTCTACCTTATTAACTTATTCCAGAAAGGACCTCATAGATGAGGGGGCATATCTGATTCAGGTGTTCAACATGACCTGGGACTGAAAAAGGAACATGTACAAGGGCAAGGGTGGGGAGTGGGGCCTGTGAGGAAGGGGCTGTGTTCCTGGTTCACTGTATCTAGCAAGTAGGTGAGGCAGGGTTGCAGGCTGGATCGGTAACTGGGAACCAGATGATAAGGAGCCTGTGCGCCCTGCTGTGCAGTTTTGACCTCATTTAGGAATTTTGAAGCAGTGGAGTAATGCAATGAGACCTGTGTGTTAGATGACCCTGGCAGCACATTTCACTAAATCTAACATGCCATCAATTATTTAATATCTTGCCAGTCAAACTGTGACATGCCATTGGTCACACTGAATTCAGAGATACCTAATGTAATGACATGGACATCAAATTTGATGAAAAATGGTAACTCCATAGCTGATGGCTTAAATCTTTCCTTCCTTCAGAGAATGAATGGAGTTAGACTAGCTCCACCTCACTAACTCCATTTATGATCTTGGAAAAACTAAATTTGATAAACTGGCATTCTTTTTTTTTTTTTTTAACCTGATAGCCAAATTGTCAAACATCAGCACAATAAAGCAGCATACTTGATCCAAAGATTTTTGTCTATGTGTATTGTACTCTGGTTGCTCTTTATAATAACAGTGACTTTATGTTGCACATTAAATATTGCTGGTGCACTTGCCAGACCTTTACTTCAGTTTGTCCTGTTGTAAGTAAGTGTTGGATTTAACACTTTTTTTTTTTACCAGTTTATTTAAATTTGCCAGTTTATTTAAAGATATGATAAGGATTAAGATGAACAGCCAGATGAAGGGTTATACTGGGCAATGTCTGGGAGGGTCCGGAGCATAGGAGCTTCTGTTCTTGTGGAGCTGGAATGCATCACCTTCCCTCTGTGGATGTGTTCACCGACCTGAAAGCTCCCTGAACCCTGTACAGTTGGGAGTTTAAGGAGACCTCCTCATGTAAGCATGATCAATTATAACTTCATGTATAGCCCCTTTCTCCTCTCTCAAAATTGGGAGATGGGGCTGAAAATTCTAAGCTTCTAATCATGGGTCCATCTTTTTTTTCAATTCCCACCTGAGGACATTTTTTCCTCTTACTGTTCACAGAAAGAGGAAGAGAGGGGGAGAGGGAGGGAGAGAAACATCATATAGAGAGAGAAACACTGATCAATTGCACGTTATTACGTTTCCCTACCCAGGACTGAACTTGCAGCCTAAGTATGTGCCCTGATCAGGAATTGATCCTGTGACCTTTTGGTTTGTAGACGATGCTCCAACTGAGCCACACTGGCCAGAGCTGGTTTGGTCTTTTGCATGATCAGGCCCCACCCAGGAGCCCACCCAGAGTTACCTCAGTAGAACAAAATCTGCTCCTAGTGCTGTTACAACCCAGGAAATGACAAGGGTTTCAGGAACTCTGTGTCAGGAACAGGGGCAGAGACCAATATATATTTTTCTATTATTTCATATCTCTGAACAGCCTGGGTATTCCCTCCCACTCCCATATCTTCGTGGTGATATTGTGACCCAGGAAGGTCAAGAAATCTAATGTCAGGCTGAATAGCAAAGTAATGGAGGCTGGTTGAAACACCACATTTTAGTCCTAACTCAGAACTCTTCACTTTAGGGTTTAGTTAGAATGACAGCTGGAGTGGAAAAGGATCGTGCCTGTGCTTCCTCACTCAGAATTTCTACAGCTGCAGGGAGGGCACATGGTCACCGAGAGCAGTTGGGGATCTGTCAAACCCTGGCAGGTAGTAGTCTTCAGGTGAAGGCCAGAGAGAGAACTGCCAATTACTTTCTGCCTTTCTTATAAGACCATTGCCTAGATAAATAGGCTTGTTTTTCCACACAAGTTCTTTGTTGTGGGGGGCTGCGCAGGGCTCTCCTGGATCTGAGAGATACTTGTCCGGAACCAGCTGAGGAGGGAGTGGGGCTCTGAATACCGCAGGGCCAGTCCCAGAGTTGTCATGGATGCGGGGAATAAACACCAGTCATCACAAACACTTCTCTGTTTGCCAGGAGAGGGGACATGGCTCTTCCCTCTAGTGGAGAAGGCCCGGAGCCCCTGTGTCCAAAAGCTTTTATTGAGAACCACTTGCACAGGGGTATGGATGCAAAGCTCATCAATCAAAAGGCTGTTTATAGAAAACAGAGATCATAGATAACAATTGAAGGAACACAAGAGATCTGCCTCAGGTCAGGACCTATGAATAATGTAAATATCCTTCCCAGTGTGATCCGATTATCATAACTTTTGAGGGAAGAGCAAAGGTACTTCAAGGAACTTACTTCTAGGCCTGATTGTCCCCAGGAACACCTGATCCAGTTTAGGGCTGTACCTGCCTTTAGCATTGTTTCAAGCCTGTGCCGGCCAGGCGGGGCAGAGCTGCCAAGAGATAACGAGACTTCTTTCTGATAGAATGAGGACTCCGGCCGTATCAAAGCCGTGGAACTGAGGGGTGAAGGCCTTTTTCCCCTTTCTCAGTGTCCCCCAAGTCCTTGTCTGCAGCCCATACTGGTCTGTCGTAGGTCGTCCCTCCTCGTCAGGGATCTTACCTGACTTTGACTGACAGACCATCACAGGGATAAGCAGAGTGATGTGAGGGAGGCAGAGGCTGCGCCCCTGTCAGGGGAACAGGTTTCGTCTCCTCAGTGGCCTGTTTTCCCAAGGCCTGCTTGATTACCTCTAGCCTTGGAGCTCTCTTGCCTGCCAGCGAGGCTGCAGTCCCTGAAACCAGAGGGGTGGCTTCCCAACAGTTCTTTGTATATTGCAGTGTAACATTCAGTAACTTTCTCTGGTGTATCAAGATTTTTTTTCTTTTTCAGAATATAGATAAGACCAGCTGGCTGTGCAAAGAGAACATTTATTGGTTCATGTGGCAGAAAAGTTTAAGGTTAAGTTAGCTTTATGCATAGCTTAATACAGGGATTCACATGATGGACCTGGTTTCTTTCACTTCACCTCTAGATTGGCTTCATTCTCAAACAAGTAAACCCTCTGGTTAGCAAAACTGCTCTAGCAGCTTCTAACTATTTGACATCAGCTCTTGCATGTTCTTAAGAAAGCACAGAATCTTTTCCCCTGTGTCTCAACTAGGTCTCCTTGTGACTGGCTGTAATGAGTCATGTTCTTGTCCCTGAAGCAAGCACTATAGCCAGGGGAACTTAAGACTAATTCTCTTGCTCCACTCATGAGCTTAGGAAGAGCTTCACCTGCAGCATATGCTCCCCAGAAAGGGATTGGAAGAATGAAAGCTGGCTGGACCTCTCTTCCCCAAAAATAATCATTTATAGCACTTCCTAGTTGAATCAAGCAGCACCTGCTTGTAGGATTTCATTGCTTATTACTGGCCTCTCCCGTGTGATTTCTTTCTCTTTCCTTTTTTTTTTTTTTTAAGTGTTATACATATACACAGGAGAGTTCTAATTCCCATGCACTGGATTGGCAGAAACTTAAAAGCCGACAAAACCAGGTATGGGTGTGACTATGGAGCAGCATGAGTGCTCCTTGTTTTCTGGTGGGAATGTGCATTGGTACAGACAGTTTGGAAACAACTTGGCCTGAGCTAGTCAAGGCTGCATCTA